ATGGAAAACACCATCGCAACGGCGTTCCATCATAACATGACAATTACATGACGTATTAGTTCACCGACTGTGCACCCTCAAATTATCACCCAGGGGGTAATTTACCCCTTATGAGAACCACTGCACTATGCTAATTTAAGTGTTGTGAATAATTTACTCTATTGGAGTAATTTATAGCAACACTTTTTTCACATTTTCCACTCATTTGAAAATCGATTAAAGTGAAGACGAGGTAGAATGTGGAATAACACAATATATGTAAATGGCAGTAAACGATGAAATTATTTGAACTCAGTAAATAACAGTTAATATGAGTAATTAACAAGCAGTGAGTCGTTGAAGTAATTTGCAAGAATCGATTTTTAACAATGTTATATCAAAATGAAATTCATGAAGCTGATCCAATCGCATAATCGTTGTTCGTCTTGAATCAATTTCACATCACCTTCTACAAGCATTTGGTTGGTATTATACTGTTTTTAGCTATTAAATGAACACACAAATCCAATCAAGAGAGTTTGATGCGTTACTGTAGAGCGTAGTTCGTTCCTCACCTGAAACAACATAATTACCTATAGAGTTTGCAATACAGAAACGGATGATCGGAAAGGATTTGCGATAATTGAAACGATTTTGGGCTCTATCAATTTACCTAACGAACTGCTGAAANAGATCAACACCGAAAAAAATTATTCCCTTTAACAAACCTGAAGATGCGGAGCAAAAGTAATGTTGCAATTAGCCAAGTACATTTTGAATTATACATATCCGTCGATGCACTCGTTATTTTCACTTGATTTATTTGAGAAGTCTCTGTAGAAAGCGTTTTTTTGCTCGCAATTTTGCATTAGTTTCACAATGATGCTAATGCTATATAAAATCAAATAACAGCCCCTAGTATGCTGTCGGATTAATTTAGTTTGAATGTTGATAAAATACGTTTCGGAAGCGAAAAATTCTCAACTGAAAACTCTACGTAGTATTCAACGTGATAATGCACTAATTATAACAAAACTGCTGTATTGAACGAACAAATTTTAAGATAGATAAGTGATATTTAGGAAGCTTTTTGCGTCTCACTTATAAGTCAATCTATGAAAAACGTAGTATCTGAAGGTCAAAAAGTTGCTCAAGAATTAACACAATAACGAATAAAGAATATCAAGAATATCAGGCTATCAAGTAATCGATGAGGTAAACAATAGATTCACAAACGTTGAGTAATGAATTGATAGTGAGCAAAAAATCCGGTGGCATCGAAAATATCGTTTGATTTGAATATCATTCGAAAATAATTTGATTCGCTGATAATCGAATGATGTGGTCGCACTTTACCGCAATACCGTCTATTGGTACGGTCATGCGTTTGATAGTTACTGAAGAGCACATAGTCACTATGTGTACTATCGTCACATCTGAATTAAGATAAATGATGCTGCAATATTCATTTGAATTTGTTTCATTTGAATCCATGTCCCACTAAACGCTTCTTTCTGTGTTACATTTCTGTACTTTCAATTTGGAGTATTACAACGTAGCTTTAAGGCTTAAAACAGAGAAACTGTGCAGAAAAAACTGTTTGAAATATGAACGCGCAGAACAAAATTTATGCCGTTATTTGTGCAGGGCAGAAAGGCTGTACAATTCGAATTCTCGAAAAGGTATGGAAAAGAACAACGAGGGAGCAGATAATTCAGCAGGAAGAGCAGAAAGTTTCACGGCAGAAAAGAAAAGCTCACCAGAAGCGTATAACCTGGACAGCACTTACTTTATTACTTCATCAAAAATAGATTATGGTCACTTTTTAAAGACTAAACAGTCGTTATCAGATGGCAAGACAATAAAAATTGAATAGTGATGATGGTGTTCTAATGATGTTATTTTTCATGCCTTTTCACGCTTCAAATAGTCCCCATTCCATAACACTTTAATTCGGAAACGTTTCCTGTCAAAAGCAAACGAGTTTCACAATCCATGGAAGCTTCAAAAAAGGCTTTGTAATAGAGAAAACGAAAATGAAATTCTAACAAACGTTGCAAATCCTTCGACATCGAAATATTCAAAATGTATAACAACGATTTCTTTTTCGCTACCATGAAAAACATAATGACAATCAATGTTGCGAGGATAATAACCCGGATGATTGGGTGAAAAAATGCTGCCATATGAGTGTCTTGATGAATTGAATACATAGTAGCATACTGAAATTGTCAAATTCATAACGCAAAATATTTAGCGATGAGATCGAAGGCTGAGTAGTGTGAATTCGTCAATTAGAGTGGTATTCAAATACCACTCTAATTTGTAGATGGCATTTGACACACTGTCGTTAGTTCAGCGAACATCTCTAAGTATTATGCTGAAAACTTCATACCGATTCATCTGTAAGAACTACTAACTGCCATGAAATTGCATTCATCTTATTGTTGCATTCAAGTCCCATACATGAAGAAACAGTTCATTTAAAATGTAGCGCGAATGAGAAATGTATTCCGAATGTCATATTGTACAAGCATGCCATACTGAAACAACTATTGTAAGGACACTTGAACAAACCATGATCATAATTTCTGTCAGCATTCATTGCTGAAAGACCAAGATCAGTACGGAATTCGTATTGTATAACGAATCCGTAATGTTCCTTCGAAGGTGTCATTTTGCGTAACGATTTGGTCGATCGAACGACGTACTCAAGTGTCATTAAATTCTTTGTTGACATCAATTTTGGTGGTGTTTCTGAGCCACAAAAATCATCAATGCGAGACATTCGTGTACCAATAAGAATATGAGCAGTTACATGATCCATTTGATCACATCTAAATTTGCTATACACCGTGGCATCAAATCTGATTATTGCATGATCACAAGAAATTTTCAGCAATAATGTAAATTTTATCACTTAAGTTCATTTTACGAATCTCATAGTCAGTCTCACAAAAGAGGATGCATAAGAGCAACTCCTTATTGACACAATTATATACATATCGGATTGCCTCGATTTTGTGTAAGTGAAGTATTCTCGCATCACGGAAAAAAATATAAAACACTGAATAGAGTTGAATATCGAATGAACTAGCCTCATTGAGGAGTTTTCCGAGTGATGAAGCCTATCAAATAGATTGAATTGTAAAAATGTGATATGCACTCGTTCATTACCGCTGCCCATAAAAATAAATTGGCATTTGAATGGCTCATCGTTGAAAGAATATATCGACGAATTTATGATACCCATCTGCGCGGAACTGATCGCATTCGGTCCCGTGTTCATTGAAGGAGATGTTATTCGAACAGGACATAACGACTCTGCAATTTAATATTCATCACTTTGAACAAAATAAAGTTGATTTTGTCGAAGTAGAGGTTTATATATCTATACTTCTTTGTGAACTCTTTTGGATGAATTTCATTTGAAACTTAATTCTACTCAACACTCATTGACAACAAAATAATGCGAAAATTTGTTGACATAGAAAAAACAATGGATATGAGCGCAACTTTTGTGCAAATTTTTGTTCAGACTCATCGAACAAAACCATAAAAAGGCACTAATTTAGATATCAACTAATTGTAGTTGGATTTGGTGAGACATTTCATCACTTCAACTTCCTCATCACAAAATCTAAGTAATTTTATTGCGTCAGCAATAGGGAACCGATGAAGGCTGGAATATTTCGACGAGTTTTCCTTATAGTCAGCAAACAAGGCTTGTCAATGGAAGAGACGAGAAGGAAGAGATGAGAAGACTAGTCGTAATTCAGAGACGAGGTGCTGAAAAACAATAGGTGAAGAATGCAACATTACTATAATGTTGCATCATAAATCTAAGAAGATTCACCGATTGTGTTGACGTGTGTAGCAGTAGTAGCGAACAAGAGTTGAAGCATTATCATCAACCTTTCAAGCCACCTCATCACGTGCAATAATAAGGAGAATAAGCACAAGAAAATCGATTCGCACAAACACAACAACTAGTAGTAAACCGACTAACTCACTTGACTTAATTTGGGCGTGTGATGCCGAATAAGCGAACGGTGTAGCTTGTGATGACTCTGAATTGTCTTCTTTTGCTTCACGAAAATATTTGAACCAGAAATGGAATCCTCGATTCTAAACTTTTCTTCATTCATTACTATCTCATACCCACTACCCATTCAACTTTTAATCATTATATCACATTTCTTTCCGTTTCATTCAATTTTTTCAAAGTCGTTTGTTATGTCAGTAGAATTAATTGAAATTAGTTATCGAGCATTGAGGATCTCATTTCAGTTATGTCTTTTCCATGAAAGTGATGACAACTGTTCAATAATCAATAATCAGTTGATTCTCAAAAAAAAACGTTTTAAGTTATCTCAGCAATCATGAGCTTCATGAAGCAAAACCTGATCTTGCACAAAATTCGCAATCGCATTATCGATAAATCAATGATCATTAGTAAGTGAACTCAATCTTAGATAGTTACTAGAGTTAACAGTATATGATAAAAAGCTCCAAAGCTCAGCGGACTTACACATTTTTACTTCGACATGGACTCTTCATGCACTCGAATGAACATAGCTTGAAGTTTTTTTTGCTTGAAAATAGGACTGATTCCAGTGATCAAATATCCTAATGTTGCAATGCAATCCCTAAATTCTTAACTGCATGACTGCTTGGTACCTGTTTTCGTTCACCGTTTCGAAAGTTTCCTCACGGACAAGTTAGTGACTTGCATCACTCAACAATCAATTATTACTGCTGACAGTTGCTGAGATACAGTTATCAATATATCTACTCAAACTCACTTTCGACAACTGATTCGATCCAGAATGAAATTCCAATATAAAGCCTTTTGTTGAAGAGAGTGAATAAGGAGGAATTGAATCATAGCAAAGTTTATCCAAATGTATCTGCAATTTTGGCTGATCAATCAATGTCAGATAAATGCTGACAAGTGCTGCTTTTTGTTCGTGTCGCCGTTTTGTAATACTTTATATATGTTGTGATCATTTGTGTTAAATTCGTCAGCATGAAGTTGTATCGCTTCGTATTTGTTTAATGCGAGCGATAGTTTCATCCTTCTTTGCATCAACGGATCCTTAATAAACTGATTCTAGCGAATTTGAATCCATTTTTCCATGTTCTTATTCAGTCTTCAGTGAATAAGGGTCTATTTCACAACATCATATCATACTTCACGCTACAATCCTTCCCTAATTTTTCAAACGCTCATAACTTTCCTGCAAACAATTTTCCGAAGGGACCGTCATCTTTTTTCTTTGAATGGCACGATTTTATCACACGAAATGATATCATTTTGAAATTTAACGTTCATTCTTGATCTATCGATGCATGCATATGTATTCGCCTTTCACAAATTCAACGCTGCCAACACATTCATATTGAACGCAATTGTTTGTGTGGCGTTCAGTTAATTATACAATTCATTAATTCACATTACGCTAATTCAATACATTCAT